CAATTAGATATATAACACAAGAAATGAACTGCTAAATTATATATAAATAAATATATAATACAAGAAATGAACAGTTAAATTATGAAGTACAAATGGCTCAGTGCAACTCACCCCCGTGAGAGAGAGTTGTGAGACACTAGCAGTCCTTCAAGTCTAGTCTGCTGCCAGGTCTTCCTCTATATAGAGAGAGCTAGGCTCTCAGCACAGCAGCCAATCACAAGGCAGGTCACCAACTGTCAGCCAGGTCCCAGTTCATACATGTACAAGTGTCATTTCCAGGGTCCAGGAGACGCTGCGAGGGTACACGCCTGGCCTCCAGCCCCACCTGCGACTCCTACAGCTGCATCTAGAGAGGAGCGGCCGGCTCCCCAAACCAGACTGTGTGCCACGCCCACAGCAAAGTGCGATGTGGGCCGCCTGCCTTTTGACAGAGGGGTGTGGCTTGCCGGCAAGGGAGACCCGTGGAGAATGGTCCCCAGTCTACAAGGTAACACCAACAAGAATGCCCAAACCCAAGCCAGGCTGGCGGCTGGAGTCTCATTGATTCTGACTCGTGGTGACCCGTGTGGGCTCCACGGAGTTTTCAGTGGCTGATTTTGGGGGTAAGTATATCTCCAGGCCTTTCTTCTGAAGTGACTCTTGTGGACCCAAACCTGTCAGCCTTCTGGTCAGCAGCTGAGGGCGCTAGTCACCCCGGTCCCTAATAGGAGGGCAGAGTGTGCCACATTCAGGAGAAAAAGCTCCCGACTACTGAGGGGGCAGGGAGGGCTTCCTGGTAGAGGAGGTATCTGAACGAAGCCTTCAAGGGGGACAGAACTTAAATGTATGACGTGAACAGGGAGTCAGTCATGGGGAGATTCGAGAATCCATGTGGTCAGAGGCATGGGCTTGGAAGAAAGAAATGCTGTTTGACTGATATGGAAAGAGGACGTGATTGGATGGAGACCAGATCACGTGGCCTGCTTTAAAAGCTCGCGCGCGCGCATGCGCGCGCTCTCTCTCTCACTTCCATCGAGTGGATTCTGACCCACAGGACAGGGTAGAACTGCCCCTGTGGGTTTCCGAGACTGTAACTCTTTACAGGAGTAAACAGCCTCATCTTTCTCCTGAGGAGCAACAAGCGGATTTGAACTGCTGGCCTTGCAGCTAGCAGTCCAACCCACTGCACCAACAGGGTGCTTTAAAATGCCAGACTGCATCGAAGCCTGAACTAGCATGGTCTTCCTCAAGTGCCTGGCCTTGTTGCTACAATTTGAAGCAGCATCAACTCAACCCATTAAGGAATAAAGAGCTTCTCCTAAGCCACAGGTAGAACCAGCTGACTCCAGAGTCGGATCCATTCACTTCCTTTTCCTGGAAGACAGAATGAATGTGGAGGAGCAGCTGCAGAAAGCATGGGTGTTAAAAGATCATTTTTTACATAGGGCATAATCACAACCCTCGTAGGGCTGTAACACGAAACAGGTGTTAAAGATGGTTTGACTCCCCAGCGAATGAGGGGGCCAGGAGGGTGTTACAACAGGAAGAGTCAAACACAAGTAAGCCGTCAGGAACACAGACAGAAATTTGCTTGAGATGTAAAACCCCCCATAAGCCAAAGGGTGAGTGTGTGTGTGTGTATATATATGTATGTATGCATGCATGTATGTATGTATGTGTGTAAACACATTAAGTACATAATGTCTAACTGAGAGAGAGAGAAAAAAAAAGGTTACAGACTTGAAAACCCGCTAGATTCTGACCCCTGAGAGCTAACCACCGGTCTTTGAATGGCTCTAAAAAGAGGGAAAGAAAAACTGAAAAGACTTGGCTCCTTTTGTGACACACAGCTAGTGTCAAACAAACAAGAGGGACGTGAATCTGGTCAAAGGCCACAGAGGCGTAAGCCACTGCAGTTTGCCGGCTGGGGATGAGCCTCCCTTGCAGAGCCCTCTGATAACTCCGAGTATGGCAGGGCTCTGGCTAGGAGGCCCGAGGCCCCAGGCAGCACCTAGGGTCTCCATGGACGATGCACGGTCAACTTCACTGCACTCCAGAGGTTTTTACAACGCCCCCCACCACACCCCACCTGCCCACAGGGAACAAAGAACCATGTGCTGAGCTCTCGGGCGTGCGTCTTGCGGGAAAGCGGTGAGGCTGAGCATGAGAGGTTTACAACGTGGGCACAGAGCAGGTCATAAGGGCTCCGCAGGCTAAGAGCCATGCCGGTGCCCATGCCCATGCTCCGCTGGTCAAAGCTACTGGAAGCCAGCAGGCTGTGGGCCCAGGAGAGCCTCCGACTGTACCACCAACCAGCGGTGAGCTGTTGTTGACAGGTTTCATTGCCTGGCACCTCCGGCTCGCCGTGGCCCTGGGTAACAGAACAGAACTGCCCTAGAAAGCTGTAATCTTTGGGGGAGCAGAGAGCCAATCCCCCAAGGAGCTGTTGGATGGGTCCCAAGAGTGCTGTGACTCTTTAGTTGTGAGCGAGCCCCTGCCCTGCTCCGAGGGGCGGGTGTCCAAAATGAGAAGCCAGACACCAGGTCAGTGGTGCTTGGCCTGGCCACCCACAGCAGCCACCTAGGGAGCCTTGAAAACACCCACTACTCCACGCCCAGGGCATTCTGACTCCATGGCTCTGGGTGGGCCAGGGCACCAGGTTAAAATCTCCCCAGGTAATTCTAGGGAGCAGCCAGGCTGCAGAGCCCTGGGCCAGATCTTAAGTAAGAACTCCTTCACCACCACCTGCTGTGGCTTTGCTTTATCATTCTCTGAAGGGGCAGCTGCTAGCCTACAGGGTCACTGAGTTGGAATCTACTTGATGGCGGCAAACCTCATCAGGCAAGAGTCTTGGTGGCAGATCGGATGACACATCAGGCTGCTAGCCACAGGTCAGTAGTTCGAAACCATCTGGGGAGAAAGATGAGACTTTCTACTGCTGCAAAGAGTTACAGCCTCAGAAATCCACAGGGGCAGTTCTACCGTGTCAGTGAGTGAATGAACAAGGAAGCCTTGGAAGGGGACTCCTGGGGGCACTGCTACTGTGCTGTGCTGCTAACCAGAAAAGGTTGAAGGCTCAAAGCCACCAGCCTCTTTGTGGGAGGAAGATGAGGCTGTCTGCTCCAGCCAAGCCTTGGAAAACCTACAGCGCAGCTCTAGCCTGTCTTATCCAACTGGTCCCTGTGAGCCATGGCAAGAGTCCCCAGGTCTTACAATGGACTTTGCTAAAGGCTGTTGGCTCGAGCCCGCCCAGAGGAACCTCAGAAGGGTCTGATGATCACTTTCCAACGCGCAGCCACTGAAGACCCTCGAGAGCACCGTTCTCCTCAGGGTGGGGGGTGTCCAGCCTTGGCAGAGGATTTGAGAACATCAACACAACATTTTCCAAAAGTGTTTCCCAAACGGCGTCTTTTAACAGAGACCAGAAAACATCAGCCACCGATGGCCTGGTCAGCTTCAGCAAATGTCCTGTCGGGTGTTAGACTTGTCAGCAAGGCTGCTTCCAGTGATTCCGTGGGCAGCACAGGGCCGTCTCCTGGTTTGCCACCTTCCTCATATGCATGTGCCTGAGCCCGGGTGCACAAATCCCTGAGGAGCACACACAAGCACCTGTGCGCATCACACACACCAGCCTCCAGAACATAGGTTCGGGTAACCTTTGGGGGTCAACTGTACCTGGCTCATCACCCGTTGGCTGGCTGGTCCCCACAGTGGGGCAGACACATGCCAGAAGGGCATGGGATGTGCACCCCGGCAGCGAGCCGTCCACCAACCAGGTCTGAGAGCTCTGTGATGCATGACAAACTCAGACGTTTACGGATCACCAAGTACGTCACCTGCTGTCTGATGTGTGGGTGGGGGTAGGGGACGGGGCCAGGGGTGGTTGTTAATCCCCGTACGCCAACCGGAAAGAAGCCCTGTTCTACAGGAACCATCCACCCTGCAGGGTAGGGCCACAGGCCAGGTGTCCATGGGCACAGACGATCTTCAATAGGGACTGAACCGGTGTCCCCCTGAAGGAGGATTCTGGCTCGTGTGCTTGGGGATGCGCTCCCACGTGGAGGTGGGGGGGCTCTTCGTTGTGTTAACGAGGCAGTGTCAGTGTGGGTGTCTGAGGGAGCAGAGTAGGCAGAGGGCAGGCAAGCTCAGAGGGAGGCCCGATGGCTGCCAAGTGGAGCTCTCCAAGGAGCCCCTGGGGCGCCCGCAGAGGAGCTGACTTCCCCAGAACGGGAAGTAGAGCGAGGCTTGCCCTGCGCGCAGACGTCCAGCCTCTTCCTTGGGAGACAGAAGTTATTCTCCAGGCTGTCCCCCCATAATAGATACCAAACCTAAGGTGCTGTTTGCACAAACACATAGTCTCTGACTATACACTTGGAGGCCAACTGCTTAAAGGTTATCTGCCTGAAGGTTGTCAGCATCTAGGGCAATCAGGCCCTGATGCCTGTCCCACCCTAAGTAGAGCCCACTCCCTTCTGAGAAGGATAATGGATTGTTCCCCTGACAGAGACCAAAGACACCCAGGGTCAAGCCAACTCAGGGACCACCAAGGTCAGGCTGCCACCTTGACTGAGAGCCAGCCTTGTAGAGCCCATTGTTACGCGTATGCCTTCCTGTCCCGCTTATGCCTACTATACAACCCCTTCCTGTTAGGCCTGTGACTCCCCGTAATTAGGGGCCTGGCACGCCCCTAGAGTAGCCTTGGTTGGAAAGACATTCTCTTTCTCTCTCTCTGCACGGATCTGGCTCCTCCACGATGGTCTCAGAGGTGAGCACCCACGTGTTTTAGCTTGTCTGATGTCTCTTTAATTTAACCCTCAATTACACAAGTGCCCCTTGGACCCGTTCGATTGTGAAGGCTGGTACCCCACACTCTTCGAACAGTCACCTCTGTTCTTTAAAACCGCCCACGTGTGCTATTTCTATGATAGCAGCACTAGGATACTAAGACCCCCTCCCTTGGTCCTTATGTTCCCAGCCCCTACTCCATGCCACACACACGGTCCCACCACACACATACTTACTGCAGGCCGCACAGGTGAAGCACGCGTCGTGGTACAGGTTCCCCATGGCCTGGCAGGCCTGGCCGGCTCCAAACACCCCTTTGCTGCATTTCACACAGGCTCCTGTGGGGGCGAGAACACACGGGTGAGTCAGGAGGGAGGCCACGCAAACAGTCCCAAAAAAGCGAAGGGGGCCTACCTCTTCCGCCCCCCCCCGCAGACCTGCCCATCCTGCCCGGCCAATGTCCAGAGTGCCTTGGCTGGGTCCACTAGCCCCCTGTAGTAGTTACACCTGTCGTCAATTTGAGACTTAAGAGTGGAGGGGTGGAGTTTGGCCTACCAATCAGCTCACAGTGTGATAAATAGCGCCCTGGAGGCAGGACACAGGCTCCCTCCCTGCCAGACGTGCCTGTCGACAAGACACATGGAGCAACGCTAGTGCCCTGAGCTGGAGGAGCCACATGGAGACCCCTGCCAGTGCTGAGATGATTCCACCGCCACTGGATCCACAAGACTTCCCACCCACTGGCCTGTGACCTATCAGGGGCTATGATTTAAAATTGGCTCTACTCAATATCACCTACTCACAATTAGCATGGCGTGTGAGCGAATGATAAGCCCTTGTGGTTAAGAACCTCTGAGATTTGAGGGCGGGCCATTTGTTACTGCAGCATGACTTCATGTAAGCTGTCGGATGCGTCCCCGTTACCATGAAAGACAAGTGCCACGTCCGAGCACACAGCACGTTTTAGAGACACAGGGGTAGCCCGTTATAGCTTCGTGGTGACCCCAGGTCTGGTTGAGGGACAGCTTTGGTTCTGCTCAACAGCACCATCACTGAGAACACACTGGCTGAGAGAACCGCAGAGTAGCTCTCAGCGCTCCCACAGAGAAATCCCAGTGTCATCGCTGAACCTGATGGCAATAGGGCACTGTTTTTGGATAGTCACCTAATCTCACTCGCTGACATTCAGCGATCATATAGGACAGGGTAGAACTTCCCCCTGTGAGTTCCCAAGACTGTAACTTTTGTTTTTTAATCATTTGGGGGGGCGGGGGGGGCTCATACAAAGCTTATGACCATCCACCATTCAATTGTATTAAGCACACTTGTACATACGTTGCCATCAACTTTTCAAAAACATATTCTTTCCACCTGAGCGCCTGATATCAGCTACTCTTTTTCCCCTTCCTTCCCCCACCCTCATGAATCCTCGATCAATTATATATTATTGTTATTTCATGTCTTAGACTGTTGCCTCCCTTCACCCACATTTCTGTTATTCATCCCCTTGGGGGGGGGGTTATATATCCATCATTGCTATCAGTTTCCCCTTCCACTCTTCCCCCCCTCCCTTCCTATCCCCTCACGGAATCACTACTCCCATTACTGCTTCTGAGGGGTTTATCTATCCTGGATTCCGTGTGTCTAAAGCTCTTATCTGTACCAGTGTACATACATTGGTCTAGCAGGATTTGTGAGGTTGAAGTTGGGCCATGATAGTGGGGGCGGGGGGAAGGGAAGCATTTAAGAACTAAGAGGCATGTTGTGTGTTTTGTTAGTGCTACACTGCACCCTGGATGAGTCGTCCCTTCCGTGTGGCCCTTCTGTGAGGGAGTTTCCAACTGCAAAGCTATTTTTAAACAAGTGGATGATGATGTACAAATGAGAGTGGCATCTTGGATAAACAGCACCTGAAGGAGATTGTCTGCTATTCTTATTTACCAGACACAAAGAGAGAAAACGAGTTGAACGATACAAGGAGGGTTTGGTGAAATCTAAAGGAAGATATTCTCCTTTGTTGTGGTAATTATAAAGATAACAAAACGTGTACTGCTTCAAAAATCTTCATATGTACAATTCACGGGAGGCAGGCTTTGCTAGTGATGATAATAGAACAGAAAGCACCATAGGTGGTATAGAATGTCAGTCTCAGGGTATTTAAAATATGATTAGGAGCTTTCCATCTTTAATAGGTCAGGGGTTGAATTTTAGCAAGATTTGGAATACTTTAAGAAGAAGAGACACAGCGTGTGAATTAACTATACTATAGTTCCTCGCGGGAGAGAAATCTCTTTAATTATGCACCTCATTCACTGCCACTTTACTACTCAGTATTATTCAGCCCTCACCCTTGCTTATGTGCAGGAACTAATTTTAAGTATCTTGTGCAATTAACTGCCATTAATCTGCACACCTGTCTTAAAAGTGCTTACGATGCCAGGAGTTAGCAGTATCATTGTAATGCTGCCAGTAGAGCGGCAGACCCTGCCCCCCCCACCCCCTGCATGTCTTCAACTAGAATGTTCATGTGAGCATCAAAGACTTTCTTCTTTAATTACCAAGGAAATTGTGTGAAGGCCATGTCTGACTTCCTGTAGCCCCCAAGGCAGATTTCCACATGCAGAGATCAGACATGCTTCCACTCCACATTCCCTTCTTTGAACACCAACTCTTTCTGCCACCGCACTACTTCTGTTA